TCAAACGCAATTTTCATAAAACCTTGGTTTCTTTCACCAATTTGGTTATTTAAAGAAACAGCTTATCGGTCCTTTATTTGAAGCTTTGCCTCAAAACATCAAAGATAGGTATTTGCGATATAGGTGCTTATTTGGAAAGTAGTGCACTTTTGGAGTATAATCTTATCCAGTAATCCAGTACTGGCCTTAAAAAATATATAACAGGAATCGTTCAAATTAGCATAGCATTAACTAATTTGGTTACTATGTATAGTTAAAATATTCTGAAATACGTAGATACATACATTATGTCCTTATGTAAACATTAAGTAAGTGATGTAACGCGTCCATTTCAATATCCCTGAGAAATTAGCTATTAGGAAGATTAGGAAGTAAAATCGAACCCGGAAGATTCACCCGCTCCCGAAGATTCACCCCAAAAAATTTTGACACCCCGAGAAAAAAAAGCATTAAATCCGCTGTATTCGTACCTGTATGAAATGGCTGTCAGCTATTAGGAAGATTAGGAGGTAAAATCGCACCCGGAAGATTCATCCACTCCCGAAGATTCGCCCCAAAAAATTTGCTCCGGACAATTCGCGTTTCTAGTCTATAACTTTTGATTGAGAAGTCTGATCGAAAAAGTATGAATTGTTATGGATTCTACGCACCAAAATTAATAAGAAAAAGTGTTTTCCCGAGAAATTTTGGTGCAGTCGATTTTTGGTAAAAAAGGAAAGTTGTACACTGCCTTTTTTTGAGGCTCTCAAAAAAAATTGTCTGAGATCGACCCGGAAAAAAAATTTTCTTATAGAATGTGGCCTGTAGAATCAATAATTTCAAACAGTTCCAAGATTGGACTACTAGTTCAAAAGTTACAGCCCTTTGAATTTAATCTTTCGAAATTGGTTTCTAGTCTATAACATTTGATTGAAAAGTCTGATCGAAAAAGTACGAATTGTTTTGGAATCTACGCACCAAAATTAATAAGAAAAAGTGTTTTCCCGAAAAATTTTGGTGCAGTCGATTTTTGGTAAAAAAGGAAGGTTATACACTGCCTTTTTTTGAGGCCCTCAAAAAAAATTTTCTCAGATCGACCCGGAAAAAAATTTTTCTTATAGTATGTGGCCTGTAGAATCCATAATTTCAAACAGTTCCAAGATTGGGCTACTAACTCAAAAATTACAGCCCTTTGAATTTTCTTTCGAAATTGGTTTCTAGTCTGTAACTTTTGATTGAGAAGTCTGATCGAAAAAGTACGAATTGTTTTGGATTCTACGCACCAATATTAATAAGAAAAAGTGTTTTCCCGAGAAATTTTGGTGCAGTCGATTTTTGGTAAAAAAGGAAGGTTATACACTGCCTTTTTTTGAGCCCCAAAAAAAAATTGTCTCAGATCGACCCGGAAAAAAAATTTTCTTATAGAATGTGGCCTGTAGAATCCATAATTTTAAACAGCTCCAAAGATTGGGCTACTAGTTCAAAAGTTACAGCCCTTTGAATTTTCTTTTCGAAATTGGTTTCTAGTCTATAACTTTTGATTGAGAAGTCTGATCGAAAAAGTCCGAATTGTTTTGGATTCTACGCACCAAAATTAATAAGAAAAAGTGTTTTCCCGAGAAATTTTGGTGCAGTCGATTTTTGGTAAAAAAAAAGGAAGGTTATACACTGCCTTTTTTTGAGCCCCGAAAAAAAAATTGTCTCAGATCGACCCGGAAAAAATTTTTTCTTATAGAATGTGGCCTGTAGAATCCATAATTTCAAACAGTTCCAAGATTGGGCTACTAGTTCAAAAGTTACAGCCCTTTGAATTTTCTTTCGAAATTGGTTTCTAGTAGGGAATGCAATCCCGCAGCAAAATCTCAATCCCGGTATTTGCGGGATTGTTAGATGTTAATCCCGCGGGATCCCGGAATTTGCGGGATCTCGCAAAACTTTAAATAAATTGGCAAATAAGGAATTCTGTGCGGTTAACTTCTGTATTAAAATAAATCGCTAATTATCACAATATTTAACAAAAAAGTACCTTCGGCCTAACTTAGAACTCAAAAAAACCTTACCTGTAAAGCACAAAAAGTCTTCTAAAGTGCCTCAAAAATCATAGTACATTTTTAACGAAAAAAGTTTAACAATTATTTAAAAAATAATTCGCCGTTATCAGTTTCATTAACAAAGTAAACAGAGTCGTCTCCTTGGTCGACAAATTCCTCAGTCCCGCAAATCCCGCGGGATCCCGCTCCATTTATGTGCGGGAATAATCTCGCAAAAATTCTGCGGGATCCCGGTATTTCGGGATCCCGCAATCCCGGTATTGCATTCCCTAGTTTTATGTCATTTGATACAATTTACTCCTACAAATTACAATAATGTTTAAATTTGGTGAAAAATATTACAATGTTCAAAACCGTGTACAGAATGCTGAAAACTACGAGTATGATCTGTATAATTAAAATGAAAAAACCCAAATAAATCATAAACAATAAAAGTTAGATGTAGGAACACTTTGCATGAAAAGAAGAGATTTTACGGCCTTTGAAATACTTAGACGAACAGCGACATCAAAAACATTATTTCCAATATCGTTTCAAAAACTACTAATTTTAGATAGGTAGGCATTTTTAGAACAAAATGAAGCACACAAAAAGGGCCGTGCTAAAATTGCAACGTCAGCGTGGACTATGAGCCTGTTTACTACACTAAACACATATGCAGAATATTGCATTACATTAATTTGTGAAAATTTAGTAATGTGTGTGCGGGGCGCCGGCGCCCGCCATTTCATATCTTCGTGTGTGTTACACGCCAATTTACAATTCCTATAACTGCGAACTAGGAACGCAATTAGATTGAAACGCCAACGGTGTTATTTTTATTGAAAAAGGGAAATTACGCTTTTTTTTCTTTGTAGATTTGAACGGTAATGAAAACGGCGCTTTAAATGTATTTTGTTAAAGGAGAAAGCAATTACTCTGCAGGAACAGGGGGAAGGTATTATGTTATTTATTGATGCCAAACATGCTTTATAAATTTGTCAATGTAGCAGGGAAGTACCATGTACAGCATTAATCAATACTGTAATTAGTGTGTAGCGTTTGAAGATGAACAATCGCTGCCACTTACGTTTAAAAAATAATGCCCACATAAATGTATCCTGTATTTTGCATGTATTCTCTTGAAATTGTAACCGCGTGTTTAATTTGTTATTCAAATTGCAATTTCCCGTTGGCACGTCCTGTTAAAGAATCAATCATGTACTTTATGCTGTTCGCTTGATATTACACCAATTTCCGGTTTACCTAAAATGTGCGTTTAAAATATACAAAAGAACGGAACAATTCAAATTACAGCATTTTTCTCTTCCGTCACAAAAGGTTTTCGTAAATAATTAAAATACGTATTACCACATTGTAAATAAATGTATCCTTAAATGCATGACAATAACAAACGAGTTTGATAGTTAAATAAAGCTCTTCAAAGTTCAAAATAGTTTTTTCAATTGCAATAAAGCAGTTTAGGTTTAACGCTGTTGCAACATTTATAATTAATTTTTCAATTATTACCATCTATTTTACTGGTGCAAATAACAGTAGTACTAATTATAAAATACACGCAGACCTGCTTCAATATTTAATTCAATCTAAATTGCTGCATTTCTATTAATGTGCTTTTTTAGTACGCCATTATCCGTGTATGGTTCAACTTTAGACGTTTTCGCAGATTGCAATTCACGTTTCTAACACGTCTGAATATTGGCTGGTGGTAAAGTGAATGGTTGCCTCTGTTTGAAGTATAAACTCTAATAAATAAATAAATAGTTTTCATGAAAATTTGGCCGCTTCAAATTAAATAAAAGAACGCGCCTACTTTCCCCGGTCTGCAAAATGATCTCTTACAAATACATACATCCACTCTGTTTGATATTCATACGTCGTCTTTATCGGCGAAGCATTACCAAAAGCTATACTTTGGGGGGATTGTAGCGATGGCAAATACTTTAAGGTCAGGCACTTCGTTTAAACAAATGATTACGCAACCTAACATAATTTACTTTTAAATGTAAAGTTGCGCTACTATCTAGAAAGTATATAAATTTTTATTTTCTTCCTGACGCAAGACGAGCGGTCTTAAAATTCAAATTGAAGAAGTAATTTTGACACCAATGTTGTTTCCAAATTTACCTCCTAAAATGGATTCCCATCTATATATCATGGATTTCTTTTATTGTTCGAATAGGTTAAGGTTTACGTCATGGCAGGATTTTAACATATCTGAGGAAAATTGTTTATTGGAAAACTTTAGCAGTTTAAACAAATTGAAATTTGTATGCCTACATTTTATACCCACGCATTCGAGCGAATAGTAAAATTTTTGTTCCACTCCACTGACTCTTCTTATTGTAGCACAATTAACTAAATTGGCTTTAAAAGTTACATCGGTTGATCATTAGAAATTCACTATGAGAATTTCGAACAAATTGTATTATTGAACTGCACACTTAAGTAACAAAAAGAAACTTTTTAAGATATAATAAAGTTGAAATTGGCTGTGGATTAAAGATATGATGTATAGAGCTTATTTCCGCAAGTTCCTGCGTTCTCATCAAATAACGGTCTATTTAGAATACGTTTCCATATTTATAACTTAAAAAGAAGTCAGAAACTTGAAAGATATTTTTACATCAAGGTATCTAACGAGGCACTTTTGAAGTTTACTAAATATGTAGGTATATATAATATGAAGCTGAAGGTGCTCATCTTACATACGGAGCGAATCAAGTTTAACCCACAAATGATAATAGAATACAACTGACCAATGTTAAGATCATAACTTTTGGAACATTTTATTGGTCGAGTCTAGGACGAATCTACGCCAGCTGATTCTACACCAGTCGGTTCTACGTCGGATGATTAGAATTTTTGTATTAATGTTACTATGGTTTAATTTGAAAAATATTAATAATGTTAATAAAGAAAATGCCATTACTTTTGCTAAACATTTAGAAAATGTGTTTTCCTACACAGTTGAGTGCAGTTTCTTCCGGAGTACCTCAAGGTAGTGTACTTGGGCCAGTACTTTGTACACTCTACGCAGCTGGCAAACCCACCACCAAGCTAACAACTACAGCTACGTTTGCTGATGATACGGCCATACTAGCATCAAATACCAACTCGGATATTGCATCTGCGAACCTGCAGAATAGCCTCAAATTGATCGAGGACTGGATAAGGAAATGGAAAATCCAAGTTAACAATTCCAAGTCTACACGCATCACGTTTACCATGAAAAGAGGGGCATGTGCAGCTGTAACATTTAATGGCACCCTAATTTATTTATTTATTTATTTGTTTAACCAAACACCATATAGAATAAACGAGTTGTAAATCAGCATGTGCATAATTAAAGCGCATTTTTGGTAATACAGATCAGTTTAAAATTATCGATCTCACGAGTAATTTTGGTTGCGTTAAATTAATGTTATATTTAATTACAATTGAGGATAAGTCTTTATTTTGTAAAACAAATCACGAAGTAAATAATTAAGTTGTGATACTGGTTGCGCTATCTAACGGTAAAATTATAGTACCTCCGAAAACCATATCAAAATTATTTTTTTCTTAAATTATCGATCTCACAAGTAATCTCAAAATAGGCTAGAGCCTGCACATCTATGCTATAGCAGAAAGCTTTTAGTGAAAATTTGAAGTCTCTAGCTATTGTAGTTGCTGAGATCTCAGCCAGACAGCCAGCCATAACGAATATAATAGGCGGAAGTACGTCTATTATAATATTGACATTATTATTATTCTGTCAGTGGAGCCATTGAGCCTCCAACGTTGATGTAAATCACAGACCATTTCAACCCGTAATCAGTGTCGGGTAGTGCAATTTATGCGTTCGCTCGTAGTGGACCGAAAATTAAGGGATCAGTAAAAAAAGGGGATCATAAGCTCGCTCCCGGTTTCGCAGCTTAGCGTCACTTCCGGTATTGACGGAAGCAGTACCATCTAGAAATTATCTTATTTCAATTCGCAATGGTCGACTATGGCTGTAAACCAAATTTTCAAGTTTGTATTTCAAGTGCCTCAGTCACGCGAGAACCCCCAAAAACTTCACTGAAATTTTAGAAAAAATTCAAGAAACAAATTGAGACTGTAGAAGGAAGTCGAACAAACAAGAACCGAGAGAACAAGAGGACCGAAATATCCAAAATCGTAGCAATTATCAGCAAAATAATAGAAGTAATGCTAACCCTGTGAATTATGGAAAGGGAAGAGGAAATGATACACCATAACGAAGAGGCTACGATGACTGTGGACAACATGATTGTTTGAATTTGTTTTTTTTTCAGTATTTTCTCGTAATAATTTTGAGAAAACTTTTATAACAAGCGTTATTGATCTGTGTACAGAAGAAAAATTAGCCAAAAAAACAAGTCAGGTTTTTCCAAATTTTTAGTTTTCAGTTTCAGTGAATGAAAATTCAATCGAATTCTTTCCAATTTTTACCCTGAGCTAGCCTAGGAAGTAAGTACGAAAGGTAAGTCCCAACGTACTATACAACAAAAGAAGACGCAGAAAATTGAGAAAAGAATTTTATACATCGAACCACATCACAAACCTGAGAAAATCATCAACCCTTTGTAGTAGAGACCATTACAAATTGCCGCCCAGAAGTGTAACGTTACAATATAAATCAGCATTTTAGGGATAAGCAAGCTGTTTCCTCACTGGCAAAGATAGAACGGCACAAAGTAAATAGATACTACATGATACATAATCTCTAACAAAAAATGGAGCTTTATACGCTGCGAATTTCATAAATAAATATGTCAAACAGCGTAAACTTAATTCGATTTGAAATGCACTTATTAAGAAGAACGAAAGAAATCCAGCCCGTTGAGGAAGAAGAGTACGAATATTATCTAGGCGAGGATTCCGTTAAATATTTCTTTATTGCTCTTTAAACAAATTTTGCATTGGTATTACATCGAGACATTGTGCTATGAGGAATTTAAGAGATTGCCTTTATTGGGAAACTGTTTGCACTTTACAAGATATAAAGCGTAGTGTACGATAAACGTAATGTAATTTCTCTCTATGCTGCACTGTAGTTATTATATTACGAGTTTAATAGGGAGATGAAAGAAAACTTTTGCACTTGCGTTAGTAAAAAATCAGTTTCTTAATATATAAACCGTGGTGAAATATTTCGTAGATTGTACATGTAGAGCTTTTACAACTACTGCATGCTATCTTCATAATAACGTATATTAGAAAATATTACAAATAAAATGTACACGTCAGGCTATATTTTTTGCTTTAGTATGGTATGCAAGTTTATAGGGTCTGAGAGAAAAACTACATCGTGCACGTACAAACGGGAAATATATTTTATTGAACATTAATGTCAGGAGGCGTCAGGTTAAATTGTAAATGAGCATATTATTGCATATTTTGTGTTCTTGAAGGTGACAAACCGATCACTGTTTTTAATAATGAAAATTATTCGATTTCCCAGAAATTCGTTATTTTGAAACAATGCAATATACAATTTTCAATATAATTCAGGATAAAAGTAGAAATAATTATTTTAATTTATATTGCAGTTGATTGACGATATTTCAATAACGGTATTACAGTCCCGGGTGGTGGCGTTAGATTTAAAAATTATAACACTAGGCGCACAACGGCTCTATTATAAACATTTATAATTAATTGGAACAAATTAATCTTAAGTGTGTACTCGCATTTTTTTTTCTTTTTTGTCAGTTTCCAGTTCTGAAGTAAATCATTATACTTTTCTAAAACGTCGTATGTGTTCTTAACTTGACAATTCGCGGCGAATTATATGGTACCTACCACCCTTTATAAGCGTTGTAAAATAAATTGAAAAGTTACACGTGGATTGTCGTAATTCTAAGGGATAACGTACAGTAACAGGGATATTAAGTTTTGTTGTTGCTAAAGTTTCGGTTAATCATTAGAGAACATTATTTGGGCGACTATCAAATATCCCTGTAATCAAATGTTCGCGTAATAATTGAGGATATTCGCAATATTAATTTTTCAATTAAATTTAATCTATGCGTGTAAATATAATTTATTTCTCTATTGATCTGTATCGTCCATGTTTGTTATTCAGAGTATCAAACTTTTAGAGGAACGTGCATGAAACCCTTTAATTACTGAAACAAACCATGCGAAAATGACCCCAGACTTTATTTCTAAATGTAGCTCTAGAGCTTCAGAATCATTAAAATAATTTATAATTATACTAAAACTTACGTATATGCACAAATTTCTATTCGTTAGTAATAGTTGTGTATGTAGGTATATTTAACTCGTGCCTTTTTTTACGGATTTATCTTGTATTCTGTATATGCAGGGATCCTAGTAATAATTGGAATTATTTTTAAAATGGATTTACTTACTTGAGGTATCCTGCTTGGGTTGGGGTTGCGGTTGTACAACTTGAACGGGGGTGGTTGGTTGCGTCAAAAGCGGCTGCATTGTTAGTAAAGTAGGTGGATTAACTGTTGCTGTACTTCCGGGAGATGGTGCCCAACCGCCTTTCATGTCCTGCAAACAAACAATTTCATTACATAAATGCGAGTATTTCCCGTAAAGCAATCCGCTCACTAAACTAAAGGGTACACAGTACCTAACAAGTTAAGTACAAATGAATAAGTAATTTATTAAATACGTGTTTTGCAATACAGCTTATCAGCTAACAAAATAAGTGGTAATGAGGGGGAATGGGGGGGGGGAGGGAGAAGATACAGAAATGGAAAGCGGAAATTCTTGACTTAGCTTAGATTTTTTTCTTTCTTTTGCTGCTTTATAACAACATGTTGTTTATTTATTTTTATGTTCATACTCCTCAGACGAACCATGAGAATAGTTCTCGGAATTGGTCTTTTGCAAAACAATGTTTTTAGTTTGTGTTTACCACGACTACCACAAACATTTCAGCACTGAAGGTGGAAATATTGTTATGTAAAAGTGGATTTTTATTAACAAAAGATGCCAAATTATTGACAGATCAACTTCCTAGCTCAAACCAAAAATCTCACTACAATTAACCCTTAAGGGACAGTTATGCCCCTCCATATAAATCATTTTTTGATATCCGCGCTAGTCTCCGCAATTATTGATTGTCTCAAGATAAATGGGACACCCTATATATAAATTAATTAAGTGGTATTCAAATATAAAATTACGAAAGTGATAGTAGCAAAGTTATGGTAGGGGAGACCAATGGGGAGTGTTGGGATTTAGTCGAGCGCGTCAGATTAAAGTAAGAGGGGTTGACTACGTGTTGAGAAGTGAACTTTGACATTTTTTTTGGTTTTTTGTAAGAAAACCTGGCACAATTTTTATAGGTTGTACACAGTAAGGTCTTCCGAACAACTTAAAAAGTTAGGTTTTACGGCACTGAAAAAATTAGACCCGTTATTTTCGGTTCCGTATGGATGAACAATAACAAAAAATTTATTGTTTTTATAAAAACATTTCAAATTCCGTTACAATGACTAAAAATATAACATATACCGATTTTAAATAAATTCTTATCTTTTCCAAAAATTAATAGCAATATTTAGCGTATTAATTATTTATATTTATGCACGACCCATGAAGAATTTTTCCGAACATCTTTGTGCAGCATGATGACCACTTTTTTGTCTTGAATTCAGTTGTAAAAATAGAGATTTTTTGATTTCGAGATTGGTCCTCTATTTTTTGAGAGGAAAATATTCCTCCAACTTGATACAGTTCATATTCAAAAAAGAAGTAGTAGTAAAAAAATTACCGCTTTTTGTTGCTACACAGCATTGGAAATAAAAAAAATTCGCTAAGTTGACGTGAAGTTGGAAAAAATAAATAGTCGAAAATGAGATTAATTAATTTATTCATTCATTTGTCGATGGCGCGAAAGTTTGTTTGGAAAAGCACCCTACACTTTTAGGTAGGCCTTGGAAAATGAAACAAACGAAACACGTTGCATTATAAAATAATAACAGCCGTAATTTGTAAATTATTCTGCTGTTTACATTCAGAAAGTGCAGTTTTTTTAATTTGTAGTCTTTTCTAAAATACTGATTTCTAACCAAGAAGCATTTAATATGTGGCGATATATTAGATGTTGCCTTTTGGAATGATTCTGTTCATAATTGCGCACATATTAAAACTTAATGAATATTTCTAGGTCTCCCGATTAACCCTGCCTCTTCTCTGGGGAAGGATTAAGAGGAGGTAGGTAGATAATTTTTAGTTTATTATGCGAAATTTAAAGGAAATGCAATTTTAAAACTTAAGATGGCAGTTACACCCTCTGGTGGGCATTTTTAGAACTTGAAAATATTTTCCAC